ACACAAATAAGATACATTGTTGGTAATAGTTAAAGGACTTGATGCATTTTTATGATTTAACTCCGCAGTTTAGTGTCACTTTAAGATGCATTGAGGGGAGTGAAACAAGCAATACTTGATCTCCAGGTTTAGGTCCACTGGGGAAAAGATTGCCCTGCATGGGCAAAGAGCAGGTTTACAATAAAGAGGTATTATAGGGAGAGTGAAATGCACTCATTCCCATAAATAGAGCCGACGTGTGACACTGAAGCTGTCATCCGTCGGCTCTCACTGCTCCCTGCAGGAATTCTCCCCGTGGCAGAGCGACCTGTCAATCAAGTGTATATTGTTGGGATCTGTAACGGCTGCAGCACGGCTCTGCGTTGTCAGCATATAGCAGGCAATAGCCCGCTGTATGGTGAGTTTGGGTCACAGGAGGACATGAGTAGTAGTTTTTTGTTTGTTTTTTTAATTAAAGTGTATGTAAGGCCAAAGCATTTTTTTTTTCTGTAGTTGTGACTAGAAACTGCATCGCAGGTAGAAAAAAGAAAAGAACTCTCCGTGTGCAGCTGAAATGGTGTCCTATAATAGGGCGTCTGCTGGACAGAAGATGCATCGGCACACATCACTCCGGACACATGCCGCCAGGGTGATAGATCTACGACGGGTCCCCTTTTAACAGCTGATTTGTGTAAACTCACACACGTGTACCAGGAACCATTTAGCATTCCATACAGGATATTATATCATCGGTGTTATCCCAGTCAGCCCTGCACAGTCCTGCCAACACAAACAGAAGTAGTAAGAATGCAAGTGAAAGCTAAATCTTGCAGGATGACAATCGAGTGGCCTCCATGTTGCTGCTGCTTGTCATAAGTCAGCCGCATTACTGTATTCCTGCAATTTATTCCCATTGGTCGCTTTTACCCATACTGCCTCCATGCGGCTGTGCAGGTCTTTGAATGAAAGGATATTTGTACTCTGTAGGATACATTTGAATTATCTTCTTATCACAGATCAATGTTTCTCAACTTTGTTAAAGGAGAACTATGAGATGAGTGATTTCCACTCACCTCATAGTTCTAGCCGACCTGTGACCATGAGACTGTCACAGGTCGGCTCAGTAGATCGGGAGGTGAGCGAACACATACCGGCGTTCGCTCACCTCTCGATCCTGTCACCCCCTGTCCCTGTCTGCCGTGACAGGGGGAGGGGCTGGATTCCCCTTGCTCCGATCCGCCAGCGCTGACTGGCGGAACGGACGGGGGAGCGGGCGGGTACAGCTGGCTCTACCCTATAGATAGGCAGAGCCAGCTGTCACTCACGCAGCTGGGCGGATCCCGACGTCCAGGTCGGGATCGGCTGCGGCGTCTCAGTATACCGCGAGCTACGCGGTATACTGAGCTGAGGGTGACGGGAGGAAGCTAGTTTGTGTCCTCCCATTACCCTAAGGAGAACTATTGGGAAAAACACTGACCCCATAGTTCTCCTTTAAGGTATATGTACCCATTTGCAATGCACCCTGTTGAAGGTCCCTATACTTGAAGGACCATGAGCTGTGTTGAGGGGTTACAGGTACCCCGCAGCTGTGTATAAATGGTTTCAAAGTAACCCATAATGCTTTTTTTTTAATAACTACAACATTAGATTAGGTGTTGAATGATTAAAGTGTACCTCCAGACACATTTTCAATTTAGTTTTGGTTGATGGATTTAAACCATTGTTGGCTTTTTATTACTTTTTGAGGCTTCTGTGGGGAGATTTTCTATCACCTTCTGGCCCCAGTGACAATGTGGCTCCCCAGACAGGAAGTGAGGGAAAATCTCTAATAAGGGACATGGAATAAAAAGCTGTCAGGGGCTCTTCCCTCTTGTTATAAAAAAAAGTGCTTTATTTTTGTTTGTGTCCTTTTCGGAGATTTTCTCTCTCACTTCCTTTCCTTCGGGACAGGAAGTGATTGGAACTCCCACCAACGAAGCCACAGAAAGCAGTTAAAACTCACTTTTGTTCTAAACCGTCTCATGCTATTCAAAACTTTTCTTTAAAAAAAAAGTGCCCTTTAAATGTATTTGCTTAATTTTTTTTTTTACAAGTGACTAAAATCTGAATTATCAGTGATAGAATTTACTTAATTTTACATTCAGATTTGCACCTTAATGCGGACCTTTAACCCCTTTGACACAAAATCGCATCGGCATACAGCTCTGCATGCTGCTATGAAATCATCTTGCATGCATTAGCTAAATAAACACATTTTTATTTGACTTACACTTCCTGGTCCTCTATGGCATGAATGATGTCATCGTGCCCAAGCATTGCATCCTGGGAAGATTACATCAGCAGGTTGAACTCGATGGACATGTGTCTTTTTTTTTCAACCTGACTAACTACGTAGCAGAGCATTGCGGGGAAATCTCATCTGTAATCTCACGAGATCTCAGGGAAAGGCATTTTCCTACCCTGAGATGATGTGCATGGTCACATGTGCCAGAGTTCCAGGAAGTAAAAAGAGATCTAGTAACCTGCCCTTAGTTAACATGGCCACAGAAGACTGGGGAAGAAAAGAGAAATATGCAAAGAATACAAAGCCGGACATTATCTAGAAGTATCTGTTTGTAGATTGTCATCACTAAACATTTCTAAAGGTGCCTTCGTTGTTATATTGAAGATATGGGTGAAGTTCCTTACAAGGCAGTCTGCTGCAAAACAGAAGTTCTCCCCTAGCATGAGAAGGATTTAAAAGGAAGAGCAGCAAAGAGAAGGGAAACAACCATGGATTACAGTAAGGCGCACATTACAGTATTGGTTTATGTTAAAAAAATCTGAGGGTTTAATGTCACTTTAAGGCTCACATATCACTTACTGAGAACACGTGAAATCTTACTTGTCAATGTTTGTTACTCTATAGATTTTGTAAGTTTGTATTTGTTCATGGTGGTTTCTGTATTTTCTGATTAGATACACAGCCTCTGCTTTCCTGATCCTCTCCTAACATGCAAGTCTGTCCGCCCTGCCGAGATACGGGCCATTAGATAAAGGTAAGGGGCTTTTGCCTTTTCATATTCCAAAGTATTATTGATTTTGTAAACTTGTAAATAAGTACATTTGTGTGTGTGTGTGTGTGTGTGTGTGTGTGTGTGTGTGTGTGTGTATATTATTATATATATTTTTATTTTTTTTCTTGCATTCCTCCTGAAATTTTCTACTCTCTGTAGCAGCATATGAGGCCGTCCTGGGTTGGGCCAGCTGTATAGGTGAAGGGCCTTAGACGGTTGCACTGATGTCTTTTGGTGCAAACACAGAGTAACTGTTGAGGAAGTCTGAACAATGCCCCGCCAGATTATTTGTAGATTGGAATTGGCGGTCAAATTTATCTTTTGAATATTTACTAAGTTGCAGCGTACATATAAGCGGCACCATCACTACATGTTTCTGCCTTTCTGCTGTACTGGTTTTGGAAATGTGGCGTAGAAGATTGTTTTGGAAACGGCTACTGTCCTTTTAAAATGAGTGGGGGCGCTTCTATTCCATTTGATCCAGCTCAAGCAATAAAAATGTGACCTGGGTTCTAACCCCTTTTGCTATATCCAAAACCTAAAAACAAAGGTTTGGCTGATACAATATACTTGCCTGTCTCTGGCTCGTCCCCCGGCCCAGAGCCCCTCTGTGCCCCCCGTTTTTCCCTCCGTCCCTCAGGCCCGGCAGAGAGCCCTCCTGTCCCCGGTACGACACTTCAGTCTGGACACAGGATAACACGGGTTAAATGTTTATGGAAATGCCTATTAGTGACAATGTGAATAAATGTTAATAAATAGACAGATGTGTTATCCACTTTTTATTTTGGAGGGAATAAAACCCAAAATATTGAGTTTTTCTATATTGTAGCACATACTACTAAATGTTATGTTATACGGTACAGTTTTTTAAAAATACTACACCAATTTATTTTTCTAGCTAATGTGGACCTCTGACTTTTTTTTTTTTTTTTTAAACTGACTCTTCTATTTTTGAATGACTAAAAACATAGAGGTGATCAACATTCTAGATAACCTACAACCTGAATTTGGGAGGTACATCAACCTGTTTCGTGGATCAATCAACTTACCTGTATGACTTTGTGTCATGAGCGCCGCTGGTGTATGTCATATGTTTTAAAGCGCATGTCTGGGTGAAATCAGAACAAATATATTCAGTATATCTCTGCACTACATGCTGATATACAGAACACCTCAGCCTCTCCTCATTTCTATAACACCTGCAGAATCAGCTTGTCCCCTGAGCACTGGCCCTGATATCCTGTTTTAGGGGGGCTCCTTTCCCTTGCAGGGTCCTATTGAGCCGTCCTTGTGTGTGCTAGTAAACTGTGTGAAACACACAGACACAGCAAAGCACGTCATTCCCCTCCTCCATCCCTACTTCCTTCTCCGTGGTAGTAGATGGACAGCTGCTGGAGATTGTGCTTTCCATTGTAATCTTGTGCTGAACAGGAAGTTCATGGAAGCAGAGCTGAGAGAGTTGGAGCTCTTCTAAGAACAAAAAAATACTTTTCTGGACAATGTATAGCTTTTTTAAAATCTGGATTCATTATTGAAAACTAGTTTTGAGAGTTTTTTTTAAACTATTTTAAGAAGCAGGGGGTGGCGGCTGGGGACGTTCCTCTAACGAGCTCCTCCTTCTGCTGCAGGGAACCCTTTCACATCCAGACAGGCAGTTAAGTGCAGTGAGAGGAGGAGGTTGCCGGGGGAACTTATACCGCTAGATGTTTGAATGAGAGTAATAAGGTAATTTCTGATTTTATACGCAGCCTCTCAACCAAAAACATAAAGCTGTAATGCAGCACGGAGCTCACTTTAAATGATGAGGAACTAAAACAAGAAATGAAGAATTAACGTTAAATTAATCATTTTGTCAAAATGTCTCGTTGTAAGATGAAGTAACCCGCAGCTTTGCCACTGCCAGGAGATAAATCCATAGAAGAGATGCTGTGAATGTGTCCCAAACCAAGGTGACCCTGCAAAAGGTCTCCTGGCACAGCGGGTTCCACCCCGGCGTTCTTGTATCCAGTTCTCGCTCTGATGCCCCCCCGGGGCCGCGACCTTGCTTACAGTCCCCGGAGGGGCAGACGGTCCATTACTAAAGTCTTGACTTTGTCCCGTTCCCTAACTGGAGAGGTTGAGTTTATGCCATATAGTGACCACCTTCTCTGGGTGGCTGATGGTGTCAGTCCATTGATCCGCTGCTCCACTGCTATTGCTGTCACTGCTGATCCACACCTGAGGATAAGCAGAACCAAGTAGAACTCGTTATATCCGCTCTCCAATAATCAGTAAATCACACAGACTGCTGCATATGTATCAATATAATATATATATATATAATATTACACAATATTCTTTATAAAGATACAAAGTAACCGCGCTCACTACTTAAAAGGGATTTTTTTCAAGTGAGCTTTGATTGCAAACAAGTCTACTATGTATTCCTATTACAATGCTGATGTTATAACAGGCGAGGATGTGCTGGGACTTTACAACTCCTTTAAAGTAACCCTGTTTTCACTTTAAAAGTGGTAAACCTGCCTCAGTAGTGGTCACCTGGTACCTAGTGGTTCCTATGCGTTTGCATGCTCTGTATATTGTGCTCCAGCACCTGTAGAGGGCAGTAATCTCATATGCAAATGGAAACTTCAGGAACTAAAATTGACATTAAAGAGACCCTGTCACCTGCCCGAGCGGTTACCTGCCCAGGCACAGTGAAAGTGCCGCCTGATAGCGCATGCACCAGCAAGGTATACTCCCCCCATCTGTGCTCCTTTGCCACTTCCCCGGTCTGTCTGTACACTTGCTCTGTTGATCTAATGGTAAACCTGCCTCAGTAGTGGTCACCTGGTACCTAGTGGTTCCTATGCGTTTGCATGCTCTGTATATTGTGCTCCAGCACCTGTAGAGGGCAGTCTATTGCCCTCTATCTGGTACCTAGTGGTTCCTATGCGTTTGCATGCTCTGTATATTGTGCTCCAGCACCTGTAGAGGCCAGGTCTGTCTGTACACTTGCTCTGTGGATCTAATAGATCAGGGCTTTTAGGTAGGGGAGAGCCTGTGACCTCCCCAATATGGCAGTGCTCAGGCCTGGGCACCCCACCTTATGTGGGGAAGGGGAGCTTACTCCAGCAAGGAGGCTGCAAGGGAGCACATTTGGGTGAGTATACCTTGCTGGAAGGTTGGTCTATCAGGAAGCACCCTGATTATGTACGTGATGGTGTTTCTTTAAGCTCCACCTCTTCCTGTGCCTCCGGTTGGGCAACTTCATGGACCAGTAGGTGAAGGAGACAGAGCCAAGCACAACATCATTTTCTGACATGGCTATAGTCGTATCAGAAGATCTGGTCTTTTAGAACAGTATTCCCGCTATGCAGGGATCCCTAATTGCCTCCTTGCCATCCTTAAGTGCTCAACCATACCTAATGCATGCAATATCCAATGCAAATGTAACATGTTTTATGTACTGGGTGTTGAGGGTGGGAGGTATCTAAGCAGTAGGGAAGAGCAGAGAGAGAACCTTAGTCTGGTGATGCACTTTCATACTCCAATAGGTAGGCTGTAGGGGAGGTGACACAGGAGGCTGCAGAATCCAAATAGCGGTGTCACCTTCAGTCTATACAGCGTGGCAGGGGGTGTGTTAATAATGGAAGATTGTTCTAAATATTTTCATGAAACGGCCCACATATATTTATTTCAGCTAGTTTGCTGTTTTTGGCCACTTTCACTTCTGCTTGGAGGTTTCTGCCTCCCAGGATGAGCTCGCACGTGTTCTTCCCTACAAGTGATGTTATATGATTTGCAGCAGGATGTAGGTGCAATTCCTGAATGATGGGCTCATAAAGGGGCTCTCCGCAGATGTTTCCACCACAGGCGCACCTGCATGTCTCCCGCCGTCCCATGCTGATTAACTTTCCCTGCGTTCTGTAGAGAATCTGGCCGCCTCTCAAGACAAGAGGAGGGAGAGGGCGAGCACACCAGCCTCGTCTGCCGGATTGAATGCGTTACACAGAGGGCCCAGTGTTTGGGACGCTGAAAAGCGGCTCTGTTACTGAGCCCAGAGTACAAAACACAAGATTACCCCTCTCATATTGTCCTCTGGCTGTCTCTGTATTCCAAATTACACACTGTCCTCCGCTGGATCCAGTCCCAGAGACTCGAATTACACCAATATGTGAATTCCCAGGAGCAGATGTATATCAGGAATACAGTAATCGGCCTTCAGTAAGCCCATGTAGAGGATTTTCTGTGGTGGCTGAAGAATCTTATTTATTAAAATCTGGTGCAAGTGTCTAACAAAAAAACAAAGAGCTTTGTACAGTGAGATGTTCTGCAGCGGGGAAGAGCTAATAGTTTTAAAGTGACACTAAATTTACAAGTTAAATCTTAAAAATACATTAATTTCTTAACTCTGAACAACAATGTATCTTATTTGTGTATCACTCGGCTGTAGATCCTCCAATCATCTCTGACACTGTCCTTCCTTCTGGGGGGGGAGGGGCTACTTTTTTTTCCCCCATGGTCCATGTGTGTGTTGTAAAGTAGTCACCGCTCCAAGCTCCCTCCCGGGATGGACTACAGTCCCAATACAAATGAGTAAACTAAACCTGAGATTGTAGTCCATCCCGGGAGTGAGCTTGGAGCGGTGACTACTTTACAACACACACATGGACCATGGGGGAAAAAAAAGTAGCCCCTCCCCCCCCAGAAGGAAGGACAGTCCCCCCTCCAGAAGGTCATTCCTGGAGTTACACTTTAAATGTTAGCGGTGCCACATTTTGATATTCCTCTTGACAAGTTGCTAAAAAAAAACGTTTGGAGGGGAATGAAAGTAGCAAAATGTGAAGGAAATACACCAATAAAAATCCACTCTGGTGAATATTTTCAAAGCTCCCATCAATTTGGATTTCAACTTTTAAATCTGCAGACTTTTCGGACCCGAATGCTCGCAAATTTTAAAACTCAATACCAGTTTGCTATATGATCCATTCGTGCGTCAGCGCTCGCACACGAAGTCACCTCCGTTCAGTATCCTTTGCATCCCTTTACAATGCCTCCGTTTCCCTGATGTTGTATCCGGTGTCGTGTTATTGTCACCGGTGTAAACCAATCTTCAGTGTTACACCGATAATTTAACCTTAACGTGTATTTAAGTGGCACAATGGATGAATGGGTTACATTTAAGAGGGTGAAAGCCGCATCTGCCCCTCCTGTAATTTATACAAGTGACATTACCTTCTCCTGGAAAAAAATCTTTCTTTTCAGGAGAAATGTAAAACAATCTTCTTGGTTCTATAGCTGAGCGCTTTGTGCATGTCTCATGAAAGAAAGTTTTGTTGCTGGAGAGGGAAGAGAGAAATTCTGTGCACTTGTTTTTCTATTAAATGCAAAGCAAATACAACCTCCTTGCCAGAATCAGGATGACGAACATGGGTGACATTTGCTATTGAGAGTGTTCTACTAATAGCGACGGCGATTGCCAGAGATTAATGGCTAGCAGTCGAAAAACATGCAGTTGCATGTGGTAACAAATGATGGCACCACCAAATAGGACACTGTGATATTATTAGTGATTAAACACTATTACATGCTGCACTCCATTGCATGAATGTAGAGTGATAGCTAGCGGCTAATCACTGGGTGATCATGGGCAATGGTTGTTCTAGCCCCGCAATGCTATTGCATTCTGACCGATGCCTCGGAATACCTAAACGGTGACTACATAGGGTTGCCACCTGTCCAGGATTCACCCGGACAGTCCGGGTTTTGAATGCTGTGTCCGGGTTTCATGGCAGCTGAAACCCGGACACATGATGTCAGGCAGACAGGGGCAACCAAAATTAAGATAGGGGCTACTGGCCCCCCACTGAAAAATGGTCTCAACTGTGATATTTAGATATGAATGGGTGGAGCTATTTACATCTGAATAAGGCGCGACTCATTCTCCCCCAAAAAAATTCCGTGCGTCGCTAGAGTGTTCAGCGTCGCTGGAAGAAAAGGTGACAACCCTATGACTACAGCTGATTTGCAGTAACTGTTCAGCTAAGAATTTCGTACTAGATAATTCGGCCATCGGGGCCAGACACCAGTCAAATGTGGCCGCGTTCTGTTGACTGAGATCTGTGCAGTGTATGGCCAGCTTTAGGGTGAGCTACTTGCAGGAGGCTCTATAGTCCACATGTGTCAAACTCAAGGCCCAGGGGCCGAATCCGGCCCACCAGGCCATTTCTAGACTTCTACTTTCAGATCTAGGTATTAAAGGAGAACTATGGGGTCAGTGTTTTTCCCCATAGTTCTCCTTAGGGTAACGGGAGGACACAAACTAGTGTCCTCCCGTTACCATAAGCTCAGTATATAGGGAGATACAGCTCGCGGTATACTGAGAGGCCGCAGCCGATCCCGACCTGGACGTCGGGATCCGCCCAGCTGCGTGAGGGACAGCTGGCTCTGCCTATCTATAGGCAGAGCCAGCTGTACCCTCCCCCGTCCGTTCTGCCAGTCAGCGCTGGCA